TTTTATATGAATCTTTGTGTTATAATAGAAATTGGTATAATGAATGTAGGTGTGCTATGTCAGATTATGTTCTGTTCTTTATTTCTTTGGAGAATATATCATATAGAGAGTTTGCGTGATTTTAAGGTATTTGAATTTCATTTGTTTAAGGAAGCTCCATACTGATTTCTATATTTGTTGTATAAGTCTAAAATCCCACCAGCAATGTGTGAGTGTTCTAATCTCCACAACTTCTCCAGAATTTAGTAATTCTTGTTCCATATTTTTTTGTTTTGCCGATAGTGTCAGTTTGAAGTGGTATCTCATGGTTGTTTTAATTTGTATTTCTCTTATTGCTAATGAACATTGCTTCATATGCTTTTTGGAAGCCTGGATGGCAACTTCAGTAAACTGTCTATTTTTGTCTTGTGCCCATTTTTTAAATTGCATTATTTTTCTTATTAAGGTGTTATAGTTTTCTATAGATTTTTAAAATTAACCCTTTATTTGATATATTACTGTGTGCTAGTCTGGGATGACTAGAGAAAAATTCTTAGACTCTCATATGTGTTTAAGAAAGCATTTTATATAAAAAAGGGTAATTGTATATTAAGAAAGCACCCCAGTCCAGTTCAGTTCAAGTCCATACATTCGAATATTAGCCCATTTGTCCGAAAGCAGTCTATAAATTCTTCTTCAGACTCACCCAGCACATGCAATGGTGCAGAATGCAGGAAGATCACAGGCCAGTGAATGGAAAGTCTTGTGGATCCAGTGGCAGTAGAGGCATCTCAGCGCTGGTGTGGGTCTCAGTGTGACTCCTCCAGCCCCAGAACTCTGGCTGCATCAGTGTAGCTCCATCAGCCTTGTCACCAGTACTATCTCCCAGGGAATGAGCCTGTGTCCAGCCTCCAGCGAGCTATTTCTCTCCTTAGCACCTCCAAATTAGGTCATCAAGCTGTGACCTGACTGGCAGGCTAGACTCCATCCCTCCACAAGTTGACACCAGATTATGTAACTACCACACACTGCTAAATATTTTTCCCAAGCTGTGGCTTTTCTTTTAACTCTTTTCATGAAGACTTTATTTGCATAAAAGTCATATTTATAGAAAGTCCCTGTCCTCTATTTTGTCTTCTATTGCGTAGGTAGTTTTCATTATGTCCTAACATAGGTATGGCTTATATAAGGACCCATTTTCTGTCTCTATTAGTTTTCATTGATGACATTTATGATTGTAGAATTTATTTTTACGTATTCAATCCATTTTAAGTTTGTTTTTGTACATGGTGGGAGATATAGGTCCTGTTTCATTCTTTTGCAGGTGGCGATTCATTTATTGAAAGCCCCATTTATTGAAAAGGCCATCTTTTTTCCCACTTAACGTGTTTTCGTCCTTTTTATCAAAGATCTGACATCTGTAGGTACTTGGCTGTATTTCTGGGTTTTCATTCTAATCCACTGGTCTTTTGTTCTTTCACCAGTAAGACACTATTTTGATTACCATGTGTACTTAATAAGTTTTAAAGATTTGGGCTGAAAGGCCTCCTACTTTGTTTTAGTTTGTTTAAGTTTTGTCCCTTTACATATAAAGTTGGCGATTACGTTTTCCATTTTGTTTAAAAACAATGTTGGAATTTATTTAGAAGTTACATTGAATTTATATAAAGTGCTTTGGGTAATAGTAACATTATCACTATACTTCGTCTTCTTATTCAGGAGCACGGGGGATAGTTCAATTTGTTTAAGTCTCTGAGTTTCTTGCAAAAGTGTTTTATATTTTTCTGTGTTTATTTAAGTCTTTTATTTCTGTGGTAAGCTTTACTTATAGATATGTTCTCCTTTGTGTAACTATCATTGAGTCACTGTGAGTCAGAATTGATACAAGGGCCTTAACAACACATATTTATTGGGCTATTTGTCTCTTATAATTCTTAATTTTCTACTTATATGACTTTGTATACTTTATAGAATGGCACATTTATTTCTTTCTAAGTTTTACATTTCAGTTTTCTCTTATCTAATTGCATTAGTTTCTCTGAAAATATGAAATAATAATATTAGTTATGTTTTTTTTTTAGGCACAAGTTTCTCAGCTCAAACAATGTGTTAAAAAAGTATCAGTTCTTATTTCCTGAGTCTTATGTCAATGAATAATGTTGAATATTATCGAAGTATTTTTATTAAAGTTGAAATTTATTTTTTCTCATTTGATTTATTAATGCATTTTTATAAAGAATAAATGTTTGCACGAATATTTTTTATTATTTTAAAATTACCATACTTTGCAATAACTGAAAATATTAAATACACACTGATCCTTGGACACAAGCAATCTATCTACTATTTTTCATGTCCCAATTTATTTGCAGCATCATTCTTTATTTTTTCTTTCAAAGGTAATGAAAAAAAGCTTGTTTTTATAGATTGAGTCTGAAAATTTTATTTCTTTAAATTCAGTCTATATGTATGTTCTCATGAGTGACATGCAATATGATTACTTATTATTTTGTAGGACATTTTCTCTTATGAGAGGACATGCCAGGGGTGAGAGGTTAGGAAAGAGATCTAAATGGAAAAACAACTTATGTTAATATAAAGCATTTACTTTAATGAGGGGTCTGAAAGACATTGATGCACAAATGTATCCTGAAAGTGACCTTTTAAATATATGGCAATAACCTTTTTTTAATAAACAAGGAACCACCCTTCCTTCCTTCCTTCCTTCCTTCCTTCCTTCCTTCCTTCCTTCCTTCCTTCCTTCTCTTTTTTTAATAAAGAACAGGACAATTATTTGAAACTAAAGAAAATATCAAGGCTTTAACACTGTGAATACCTTAATAACCAGGGCCACAACTACTAGAATGTTGTTATGAAAAGAGCCGTCAAATTGTCTACATAGATTTCTTGCTAAGGGCAAGCAATTGTGCTCTAACTGAAGACAATAATGGTCACCCATGATTGCAGAGATTAGTTACAAATATCGAATATATAATGTTTCTGTTTTCTTAAGGGAGATGCATCAACAAAGCATGGGTATGTGATGGAGATATTGATTGTGAAGATCAATCAGATGAAGATGATTGTGAGAGCTTCTTGTGTGGACCACCCAAGTACCCCTGTGCTAATGACACTTCAGTGTGCCTGCCGCCAGAGGGACTCTGCAATGGGAGAAGGGATTGTCCGGATGGGTCTGATGAAGGCGATCTGTGTGGTAATGAACTTACCCCTGCCTTTACTAGAACCCTTCATTTCATCTACTTGCTGATACCTGCCATAGTCGTTGTCATTTTCCCCATTCATTCCCCTTCAACGTAATGTTTATTGTTCCACCCTATCTATATTTTCATGTGCTCTACCTACATTAAAAAAAGTGTATGCTGAGATTGCTGACAATAAAGCAGTAAAACTTAGTTCATATCCAACCAGCTTACAGATTGCGTAACTGCTCATTACTTATGTCTTGACATAGTCATTTCTGTTCAAAATATGAATTTGTCATATTTTTGTCATTGAGTCATTCAGAACATCTTTTTATTACTCATCTGTGAAGTGGTGCTTACTACCATCCTATGACGTATGACTTTTTTTATTGATTAAAGTATAATCTGTTTTAAGGAGGAGGAAAAGAGGTAACTGGATAATAAAACAAATTGAATATTACCCAAGTTTATATGATTTCCACCTAATTTATTTTGATCCTTTTACAGCAAACATATGATGTGTGCTTTACATAGTTGAAATGATGATTTCAATCTGATGGATTGTGAGCTGTGAATTCACTTCTCTCTAGCCATCTCCATATGCCAATGAGCTCATATAAAAGAAAACGGCATTTTCTTCTCTGTGGGGAGATCAGCGATTTGGCTAGGAGATTTATAAAAATGCGTTTTACGGATAATACTGAAGGTGACATCAGCAGAGTATTGAAAAAGAGTTCACAGATTGATAAGAACAATAATGAGATGACTTGAGACTGTGAGAAAATGACTTTAGGAAATGATATTGCTGCCTGATGGAAATCAGAAAAAACAACTAAATTTAGCCTGAAGTTATCATATTTTATATCAATTGAGAATTAATAGAATACTGAGCATTACCAAAAATAAATAAACAAATAGAGAGCAAGAGAAAGAGACAGAGAGAGAGATACAGAGAGAGAAGGCTATTTTTCCTTTATGGAAGATGTACATAATAAAATGCCCTTTCTTTCAGAGCCAATGGCTTTATAAAGCAGCCCTGAGTTGCTACATGCAACTGTTTCCATTCAGTGGCCTTAATTTTTAAATCAATGATTCAGGAAAAATATTTAAGTAAATTAGATTGAGAAAAAGGAAGAGAAAGATGTCAGACTTGATTTTGCTATATTCATTGCACTGCCTTTTCTCCTAGCTTGTTCACCTTGCTAGAGCGAGTTTGTTTCTTTTGCATTAAAATTTGTAAGGTTTGCAGATAAATACAATTTAAAATAAGACAACTTATCAGTACTCTTAAGATGTAAATATAGTGTTTAGGGAAGAGTCTAGACTTTAACAAGTCAAACATCTCTCCAATTAAGTCACAAGACAAGTGACTTTTGAAATTCTAGTCTATTCATAACTCTCAGGTGACTGTGATGAAAATGTGCATTTATTTTAGGTGTTGAAAGACACTAGTTCATTTCCACGTTTTTCTCATGCTCTCAAGATAAATGAAGGGAATAACAAGCAAATAAATTAATATGCAATCATCAAACAAAATTAAACTTTTGAGAAGATTTTGACCTTTGTTGTAGAAGTTTAGGGTTAACGAAGTGTGTTAGTCTGGGTTGACTAGAGAAACAAATTCATAGACACTCATATGTGAATAAGAAAGAACTTTATATAAAAGAGCAATTGTATAATGAGAAAACATCCCAGCTCAGTCCAGATCAAGTCCACAAGTCCGATATTAGCCCATATGTCCAATCCCAGTCTATAAATTCCTCTTCAGACTCACACAGCACACACAATGACACCCAAAGCAGGAAGTCAATGGGTGGAAAGTCTTGTGGATCCCATGGTGGTAGAAGCATCTCAACCTTGGTGTGGGTTTCCACGTGGCTCCTCCATCTCTAAAGTTCTGGCTCCATCAGCATAGCTCCATGTGTCTTGTCAGCAGGAAGACCAAGCAGAGAGAGTGTGTGTCCCACCTGCAGGGGCATGTGTGCCTCATAATCCTTAGGAGAAGGCTATGCCCATACAGAGCTCTCATTGGTTATGACCTGATTGACCAACAAGACTCCACCTCTTCACTCAAATTGACAGGAGATTATGTAACTGCCACAAGAAGAAATTATGAGACTACACTATGCAAATGCTGGCATTGAAGGTACAGAATTAATTGTAGATTTAAATTTAGATTTCCCGTCACCCAAAAATCTGATTTAATGTCCACAAATAGTATCAAGAAATATGCTTCCAGCACTAAATAAATGGTCATATTTGAAATATGCAAGAAAATTGTAATATTTTTTCACCTATGACATTTCCGTACAGTAATTCTCCTGAAACAGTCTGTCAACTGAACTAAAATGGGGCAAAAACTTTGATATGACTGCTCTTTTGAGCTGATTGTGAGTGTGGTTGAAAAAATATTTTAAAGAACCAAGAAATGAATCTCTCTTTTAAAATTCTACTTCTAAAATAGTACCAAATTCCAATTAAGGTTTTAGAGAAAATAGTTTGTCATCACTTTCTTTATATCACTAAAATTTATTTTATGATGATAAATAATATGGGGAAACTGACACATATATAATTTTTTAATATAGGCTCTTTTAAAAATGCCTTACATGGAGCTTGCTGTTTGAAGCAGACAAATTTCCATATGTGACAACTACTTAAGATACATAAGTGTATGTCATTATAGCTTGCCAAGTAAAGGATATTTTTCTTTAGTGTATCTTTTAAAAAATCAGTCTCTGGAAACTTCTCTAAACACTCTTTTAATTTGTTTCCAATTTCAACAAAATGTAATTCTAATATGTGTAATTTGTGTAATACATATATTTAAAACTTTTGAACAGTTCTTCAAAAATCATACCTGTTCATACCTAAGGCAAATCTGTCCTATCAGGTAAATAAATAAATAACAAGTACCACGTTTATTCCTATAATCCCATAAAGATATGCAATAGCAGTCATCAAGAATCAGGATTTTGCAACCAGTGACCCAGAAAATATTATTTAATATAGTCTTAATACTGGATGAGGGAAGATTTGTTTGTTTCTGGTTCCACTGTCCCAATCAATTAAGTCTTGCAGATTTTGGTGTTGCTACGGATTGCTACCAACTCGTTTACTCCTGAGACTGAAATATAACCTTAGCTGTGCTCACAAAAAAAAGAGAGAGAGAGAGAGAGAGAGACATAAGGATTTTGGTGGCCTTATGTCTGTGTGCCTCAAATGACAGAGCCTACCACTGATTATGAAGGTGGTGCAGGAGTTACAGCGAAGGTTATCAGGAATCAGAGCCAACTCAAAATAACAACAGCAAAGATACGCATACTAATAAGTGGTGTAATGGCTACAAAAATATATGTCTGCTGTTTGCTTCAAAGCCACACGTGACATCTTGAAATTGTCCACATATGGGCACAGTTTTTGAGGAGTTGTAAACATTTCATACTTAACAATATATTGAACTGCTTACTCTAGGGTAGCCCTGTCCCTAAAAGTATAATATAAAATATGAGAAGTGTTGTGAATGAAATGTACAATAAAAGGTAGACCACTCATATTATTCATGCATTCAGTACTAGTAGCCCTTCAGTTCATCAAAAAAGATCGGGATTTTTTAAAGTATATTTGTATTGTTTCCATGACTTAACTGACTAAATTATAATGACTAATATATAAGACACAATCTACAACTTAACTAATTTTTAAAACAATTGGCTCTAGCAAACAAAAAGGAAACTAAAATAATCTGTATTATCACTGTAGATCAGATTAGATTTATATAATATATGTAAAAATTGATCATTCATATATGCATATAACTGTTTATCTATAATCCTTTAAATAATCTAATATTTAAATCATCAATGTGGATCCATTCCTTTAATAGGCCTCTGTGCCTAAACTCAATCTAATCTTTTCAATCACAATAGAAACATTGAGCTTATATTTTGTCTATGGAGTACAGCCAAACACACTCCAAAGTTTTAGAGACATTAAAAGCTTCCATTCCTAGCTTCTATTATAAACCAAAATAAATATATGGACCCATTGCCATGGGGCAGTTCCCATGGAGCCAACACTCACTCATCTGGACAACCTGTGAGACTGTCACCATTTACAGGAGTAGACTGCTCAGCCCTTCTCCCACAGAGCTACTGGTGGTTTCAAACTGCCAGCCATTTGGATGACAGCCCTACTTGTTACCACTACGTCACCAGGGATCCTTGTATTCCTTTTTCTATGTAGGCAGGAGCTGCTTCATCGGGAGTTCAGTGGCAGATCCGCAAGACTTTCTTTCTAGACAGCTTTGGGTGGATCAGACTTAACCAATGTTTTAGTTACTGTATGACCACTTAACCATTCATGCCACCCAGGGACACTGAACTCATAGCTAATTAGGTTTACTCGTTTGATTGGTTTTTGACCTAATTCGAATTCTGGGGGAGGGATCCAAATATAACTTACTAATTTTGATGTATAGTGTGTTCTTTTCATTTAAGACGTGGAAAATTGAGTTCAGTGATCTGTACTTTTGACCTCTGCCCTCCTAGATGAATGTTCCCTGAGCAACGGAGGCTGCAGCAACCACTGCTCGGTTGTTCCTGGAAAGGGCATCGTCTGTTCCTGCCCTGAAGGCTTTCAGCTGAAGGGAGATAATAAAACATGTGAAATCGTAGATCACTGCAGCAGTCATCGCAAGTGTAGTCAAGGGTGTGAGCAGCACAAGCACACAGTCAAGTGCTCCTGTTACGAGGGGTGGAAGCTGGATGTGGATGGCGAAAGCTGCACCAATGTTGGTAAGCAAATGTTTGGAGCGTCCTGTTCTTCTTCAGAATAGATCTTGGGACAAACAAAACCAAAGGGCCTTCAGGAAAATTATAAAAAGTACTCAGTGAATTTTAAACAAAACATTCATCTGTGATGTGCCTTTTTAAATATAGATCCTTTTATTGGGGGCTCTTACAGCGCTACTCTTTTAGAGAGAAAAGTTCACAGTCGCCATCCCCCAAATTGCTAGCCTCAGATTGATAATTTTTCCCTGAAGCATAATCACATCAGTAAAGTCCCCTGTGTTTTTTTTTTTAATTTTCTAAAGCATTAATTTTCAGTTTGCATAGTAGTTAGAATCCTCTGAAGTCTAGTCTTGGCCCCAGAATTTTTGTTGTTTTTGTTTGTTTGTTTTCCAGTATTCTAGAAAATAACTCTTGGACTTATTTTTCCCATTTTCTGACTGTAAACAGAAAATGCTGCTGAAGTTCTTAGGTAGTGCTGGAAATGAGGATAGCAAGTACTAGAGCTCTGGAGTCTGACAGATTGAACTTCTACTCCTTCCTCTGAGGTGCAGTGGGTATAAAACCATAGTCCAGATACAGCACATGAGAGTTTTAAGCTTCGATGTTCTCATCTGTGAAGCAGTCTTAACTAGGATCCATGGGCATTGGTGGCATTTGGGTGAGCACTGGTTCCCAATAAGCAGCTGCCTCAGGGTACAAAGAAGGAGCTATCTACTCTTGCTAGTATTTAGAGCCTCGGAAACCCTCTATGAGGTCATGATCAGCCAGAATTGAGATGGCAGTGTGTTTTCTGGATAACCATGATTTTCTTTCACCGTGTAAAGTAACTTGGCGAGAAAGACAGGCTTTCTGCATCCCCAGAGTCCACTCTCTGAAATTCCAGGGGCTAGCTCTGAGTCAGCATTGACTCGATTGTACTGAGAGAGGGTTATTATGCCTCCCTCCCAGTAAGGGGTTAATAAATGATCAGTTCTTATTCTGCAGATTTTTTGAGGTCTCTGACTAGAAATGAAGGAATCTGAAAATACTTTGGGTGAAAATATTATACCTCTACTTCCTTTAACCACTAACTGAAACTCCGCAGTTCTTTTCATTGTGAATACAGGTCACACACCACAAACTCTATTTGCATAAGCCAAGACCGCATTGTCAAGTCATAAATTGGAGTCATTAGGCCCAATCTTGTTATCTAATGTGTTAATAGAGATACACATTTTGCCATATCCAAAAGTTCTTCCTTTAAAACTTTTATTGTAACTTAGATGAAATTTTATGGAGTAAGTTAGTTTTCCTTTCAATGGCTTGAATCCATTTTGTTTTCTAACTTCAGTTGCATCCCCTTCATGGTGACAGTACTCTTCCCACCCCCGCTCTGCTCCCCCTTTCTACTCATCCTTCTTTCTTGCTTCCTCCTGACGCCAGAGCTTTGTTTGGAGATACACATTGCCCTATTGGTCTCTTATGATTGCTTTTACTTGGGTGATGCTCATTCTGATGATTGTATTCACTTCACAGTTCTCCCTGTTGTTGGGCAGAAAATTGGTCCCCAGGTCAAGACATAAGGACCACGGTTTTGAGGTCTCACAAGTCTCTAACTGACAAGTCCATTGATCTTTTGTATGATTTTGCAGGTTGTCTCTATGTTGTTGTTATTTCTTTCTGACGAAGACCTTCTATGGTAATCCAAGTGAGAAAAGCCTGCACTATCTAAATCTGGTATCAGGGTAGTAGATGCGGTGGTGCGCGCAGTCCATGTGTCCTTTGTCAATGAATTATTTCCTTAAGGCATTGCTTTTACCACTCTACTCTGCTCTATGGTTGGTCTTATACTTTTAACACACACACACACACACACACACCAGCTACTCTAACCTTCTGTCATCAAGTTTATTTTGACTCGTAGGTAGTCTGTAGGTCAGAGTAGATCTGCTCCCTCGAGTTTCTGAGACTGTAGTCTTTAAGAGGGAGGAGAGAGGGGCTGATAGGTTAAAACAGTTGACCTTGTCATTAGCTTCCTGTCATGTAACCCACTAGGACACCAGGGCTAAGTTTTAAGACCCCCATCAAATATTTGTTTGTTTTCTGATAACTATAGTGCAACCCACTTGAGTTTTCTCATTCTAGTTCTACATTTCCTTAGGTTGAAAAAAAGCAACTATTTATGCTTTTGAAAACAAAAGATGGTTTGAGTTACATAGCAGTTGCAGCAATGGACTCAAACATGACAGTAATTGTGAGATGGTTCTGGGCTGGGAAAATTTCCATCCTTTTGTGCACAGGGTCACTCAAAGTCCCCTCCCAACAACATGTATATAGTTTCTTACCTTTTCAAAAATCTTTTGGAACGTTTTTAAGTAGAGATAGGCCTTATCAGACTGAGTGTGCCCCTGTATCCTAAACCCTTTTCATTTGTTTTTACTTAAACTACACTTTCTTTTCTTCATCCCTAAATATTCTGGATATTCTATAAGACCTAGTTCAAATCTTTCTTCAGTACAAGGAAGCTCTTCTTCCAAGTCCTCTTGTTCTACACTGTTTTCTCACTTTTATGTCCTTCCTTATCTGTCAAATAGATAAAAGGCATCTTGAAGTCAGAGACTAAGTTGTAAATGGTTCTTCTAACACTTACATCCCGCCCAGTGCAGGCTGAGAACATAATGCACAGTCAGTTAGTATTACATTTCTGAAAAGAGTCCCATTATTAATATACTAATTATTTTGTGGTAATGTATGTGTTTACTGATCATTGTTATTTGAATCTTAAAGACATATATTCTAACCTATTCTCTCAAAAATTTGCACAAAAAGCAAATTTTCCTGAGGGTTTGAAAAAAAGGCAAATTATTTTCATGACAAGTCATGCTATTCATACATATATTTAGAAAAGAAAAACAAGTGATCAAGTTTTGATCTAATACATATTTATCATTATGCTTCATGTGACTTTTGCTTCAAAACTGTTTTGGGGGAAAAGATGACAAAACATAATATCAGGTTTTATATCATATTTGACCCACCTGATCCCTTTTGGAAAAACCTTCACAAATTTATACTTCAATTACAATGCATTGACTAATGACAATTGAATTAAAAAATAAAGTATCTCTGATCTTCTGTGTCTATTTTCCCTTTCATTATTAAGCAATTTTTCCCATTTTGAATTGTATCCTTTCGTTGACTTCTATACCTGTTTATGCTTCTTGACATTCTTAAAATAAAAAGAATAATAGCAGTCTTTATGCTTCAATTTAGAACCCAAACCAAAAATAGCACTCATTGACATCAAGTCAGTTCCGACTCATAGTTGCAACAAATAATTTCTGAGACTGCACATCTTGAGACAAGGCAACCTAATCTTACTGCAATGGAGTGGCTGATGGATTTGAGGCACTCATCTTTAAGTGAGTAATGAACCACTTAACTCACAGTGCCTTTGGGGGCCTCTTCAAATTAGAGCCAGGCCTCCCATGTTCTGTTTTGCTATGGCTAGCCCTCAGGAGTTTGCTCATGTGTATTTATCTCTCTCCACTCTCTTTTCTGTCTTTCCTAAATCATTTGCTGGCTAGCTTTTACTGTATTTCTGAATTGGTTTTATTTTCTGTAAGTTTATTCCAAAGATCTTACTATTTTAAAAGAGTAATCTTTCTTAAATACTACTACTATGATCTTTATTTTGTACTTAAACCGTCTTATATAGCTCATTTCTTATAGCTTAGCACGTTTAGTTGCTTCCATATTTTCTCTTCAAGTAATAATTTATTAATCACATTTCTCCTGAAATATTGGTTTATTTTTACTTATGAGTACCCAGAATATTGATACGGATTAAATTTGGTACTATTTGTTTGTTTTTATTTATTCCTTTGCTGTCAGTTGGGCCCTTCACTGGTAAATTTGGCACTTAGTCCAAGTAACATTGGATAGAACATTATAATACAGTTTTTTCAATTTTCTCTTAGCATGAATGAGGTTAAATGTTTTCACCAGATTTTCCTATAGTTCTTTAATCTTTCTCCCTTTAAAATATTTTTAGTTATATTTTCTTTACACTTTGCATCATTATATTAAGAGATGATTGATCTAAACCCAAAAATAAATAGTCAGAGATTAAGTCAAAAATTATAGTCACAAAATCATAGAGACCTTTAATAAACAGAAATACCAAAATATGAAGCCATTCTTTCTGAACATATTCCTCCAACTAGATTCATGCACCACTAAAGGTGAGATTTCCATCTTTTTTGAACCTTTCCCTAAGAAGTTCTAACCTCTCCCAAATAATTCTGTTATGTATACCACACCAAACAGCAATTGGGGCATCCTTGTCTTCCTTTTCAATGTTCTTTGAATTTCAGGAAGAAAAAGAGGTTTGTAGAAGCAAGATCAAGATTGAAGGGTGGGTGTCTGGGGTGAGATCAGGGTTGAAGGGTGGGTGTACGGGGTAAGATCAGGATTGAAGGGTGGGTGTCTGGGGTAAGATCAGGATTGAAGGGTGGGTGTCTGGGCTAAGATCAGGATTGAAGGGTGGGTGTCTGGGGTAAGATCAGGATTGAAGGGTGGGTGTCTGGGGTAAGATCAGGATTGAAGGGTGGGTGTCTGGGGTAAGATCAGGATTGAAGGGTATGTGTATGGGTTAGATCAGGATTGAAGGGTGTGTGTATGGGTTAGATCAGGATTGAAGGGTGTGTGTATGGGTTAGATCAGGATTGAAGGGTATGTGTATGGGTTAGATCAGGATTGAAGGGTGGGTGTATAAGGTCAGGTTTTCCATTGAGATTCTCATAGACTAAGTGCATTGTCACGATGGGGGGGGAAATTCTCCACACAACTTTACAGGACTTTTTTTCACCAATACAGTATTGAACAGTTTCCAAACATCTGCCTAAGGAGCCTTCGTGACATCCAATGTCCTTTGAGAGACTCTATCAAGATTACGTCATTGGAATTGCCTCCCCAAATTATCATAATCTTCTCAATTGACTTCTCTGCCTTGAGTGTAACTG